GCAAAACTTACAATAGCTCACGACACTCAGATCAGATCAGCCCAGCATCTAATGAAACAGAGAGAGAGCTAACGGTCATTCTGGCTCCCTCTTATGGCCGATTGAGGGAAAACAGCAACCAATCACATTTTACAGTATGATTTAAAGAAACAGATACAACATTGCTACATGATTTATATATTGCCAACCCAACTGTTAGATTATATTCCTAACATTCTCCCCTTTGGAAAACATCTTGGCATTATTTTTACTCGGTAACAGGACATTTAAAAAAACAAAACCCCTCTTCATTGTGTCCTATTCTAAAACATTCCCAAGTAACTGTTAAATAGAGAGGCACAATACATCTACAAATATATCCTACAGGTAGGATTTAAATTGCCAAGTGCCTGGGACATTGTGCACAGTTTATATGCCAGCTCAAATATTTCATATTATTTGAAGTTATGCCCAATAGTGGTGAGTTTCAATCCAACATCAAAACTTTTGGCATACATCTCATGTGGTTCTTTGATTCGGAAAGCAGCTACTTGGTAGTGTCCAGTTCTGTCTTCAGTCCCAGGGCTCACGGTCTTCAAGTAGAGCCTAATATTGTTCTTCAATTCTTATCATGATTTATTCTACCTACTTCATATACTTATTAATCAAGGTAAACAACAATTTAATAGGGATGACTTAGCTATTGATGTATATTTTAAAGGACTTGGCTAGATGATTGACGGGCAAGACAATATCCCCCCCTCGTTATTGGATGTGTTCTTTGGGAATGGTGCCCTCCTTCTTCACCCTTGAGATATAGGAATGTCTGAATGAAAGCTACCATATGTGTGAATGCAGAACCATCTTCAATAATTTTCTTCTTTATTCCCCATAAAAATAGGATGTCAGAAGGGAAAAAAAATGTTTCAAATGTCTGTACCCAATGAATTTTTTTCAGATCATTCTTACAGACACAAGAGTCTTGCCAAGTGGATTTTTGCTATTTCGGTAACAGCTGCCTCCATGGTTTTCTTGAGAATTCTCCAGTCAGCTGATCAACTGGCCTTATTATTACAGATGGAAATAGCCTATTCTGCTTTAGGGACTTATGTGATTCTCATTTTAATTTCCTTTAATTTCAAAAGCCTTTCGCAAGAGATCAGTTCAGATCACTGGTTAACATGATACCTTGTAGCATGGAGCTTTACTTGGGTGTGTCTGAAGGAGAGAGGGGGGCGGGGGGCGGAGAAGGCATAGGTCGTATAGTACTTAGGCTGTAAAATCAGTGCATCCACTAAATGGCAGCAAAGCAATGCAGACAATTCAGATTTTTTTTGTAGGCCTAAGAAAATGTCAATAAGAAAGAGGACGGAAGGAAAGGCAGGAGAAAGAAAAAAGAAAAGAAAGAAAGAAGGAGGGAGAGAGGGAAGTAAAGCTAGTATTAGAGAAATGAATCTACTTTGTCAATATAATACTTTCTTAATTATTTAAAAAAAANAAAGATTAGATATTATCATCACATATTAGACCAAAGAACTAACAGTGTTGTGTTGATTTCTGTGGTTTGGGGTAAATAGATTTGTAACCTAAAGACTCATTTTATGGTGTTCATCTAAATCATAGGCGTTATCCTTTTTGCTTAGCAAGTCTCAGAAACCATGACAATTTTTCCATTCCATGTAGCCATTCCTCAGTGCTCTGCAGCGTCATTGAAAAGAGAACTCAGTTTATGTTTCCATGTTAGTTTTGAGCAATTTTAGGATTGGTGAAGAATCCATCATGGAAACATCATTAAGCACCTGCTATTCATTACGGCCCTTGTACGAATCTTGTACTCAGATATTTAGTACTATTAAATACAGGGTGGAGTCCTGCTACTGTGACTATGTAGAGAATTCTATAAAAGAAAATGCAGTGATTAAAACAATACTGTTTTTATAAGGAAGCATATTTTTAAAAATTATTCCCTTCTTTTTCTTTTTTCTTTTGCTTTTCCAGAATTTATAACTTGCATTGAACTTGTAGTAGAAAGGGATTCTCATAATTTTGCCCGCAGGAGTATTTTTTCTTTTCTTTTTAATTCTTTGTTCTTTATATGCTCTTTTTTTTCCCTAGCTCCGGCAATTAGTTAACATCTGCATCAACCCAGATCCAGAGAAACGACCAGATGTAACATATGTTTATGACGTAGCAAAGCGCATGCACGCCCGCACAGCTACCAGCTAAGAGATTTGCCCCCACAGGAGGAACACAAACAAGTCGTGAACATTTAAGCACTGATAATGCTTTCTGCCCAATTTTTTTTTCAATTGTCTATTGCTTTAAATTTACTCATGTGTCAAAGTTATATTAACACCTTTGTTACATAATTTATAAGTAAAGGCTACTTGTATTTTTAAAATTTTAAGTATAAGATTTTAAACATAGGTAAATTGTTGTTACAACTTAGAGTAATTGCACTTCAGTCATATAATATACAATTATTGAATAAAGGGGAAACATTTTTGTATAGTTTTAACTTTTGTCTACCATGTCTGAGTTGCAAGTTTTCTTAGGAAGATAACTGTTTAATTCCTATAAGCAAAGTGGATATGAATATGATGAAAGCATAACTACTGAATTTATTATCCATTAGTAAATTTATTGCTGGTTTTCTTTCTACCCCTCTCCCAGGATTTTTTTAAAAATATTTTTTTTAAAAAATAATGTATAGTTTTGCTTGTCAAAAAATGTCTATTTATTTGACATTGAGCTTTAAGGCAGTTTTTGAATGTGAAAATGTGGCTTTTTCAACTGGGTTGGGTTTTTGGGGGGGAGGCATATTTTTCCACACTGGGAAACAAAGAAGAAGAAATCTGGTCAAATTGTTTGTTATCTAGTCTTATACTATATTATAACCCCAATCCCTAATTTTGATTTCAAGAACTGAGAGAATTTGTACAATGTCTAGGAGTTAGAATTAGTTAGAAGGGATTATCAGGGTAGAAGGGATGTTGAGGGTTATCTGGTCCAGTTCCCTGCTTCATTTGTACCACAGGTTGTCTCTGCTATCTCACTTAATGGCTTAAATCAGGGGTGTCAAACTGGCAGCCCACAGGTTGGATGTGTCATGCACAGGCCACACCCACCCTGGCTCCTCAAAGGCAAAAAATCGTGTCACATGACACGATTGAGTTTGACACCCGTAGCTTAAATAGAAAGGAACATTTAACCACTCCAAAATCAGCTTGTTCCATTGCCTTAAGGTTCAAGCTTGTAGCTATAGTGTAATCATTCTCCAACTCTATGGCTACTAAGGGTAAGCTCCAGTTATAAATTAGTTTTCATGTCAGTATTATATTGCTAAGCACATAAAAATTAGTGGACTAGTAGAGTAATTAACTTTGGGCTGGATGGTTATGTGTGTTTAATTGCATTGAGGACCCGGATTGTTGTTGGGGGCGATATGCTGACTCTGTAAACCGCTTAGAGTGGGCTGAAAGCCCTATGAAGTGATATATAAGTCTAACTGCTATTGCTATTACTATTGCATTGGCAGAGATGACTCCAAGAACCTAAGAGATTGTGGTTTAAAAGAAAATTGCTTTGAAGAACAGTATTTTCTACAACATGTACCCATTGGATCTTGGATGAACCAAGGACACGTCCGGAGCTGTGCAATGTAGTTTCTTCATAGCAACATCCAGCCACTGCTGAAATAATATAAAGCTGTCCTCATTACTATGACTTTGGCACTCTGATGCTTGGGTGACAATAGAAAATATTGCAGAAGTTGCAGAAGTAGCTATGTGTAGGAAAATAGTCCCAAGATATTTGAAATATGAGGGACACTTAAAATAAATGACTGTCATTTGGAAATTCCTTCAAATTGTTTACATAGAGTAATGTCTCCATATGCTGCGATTCATAATATGTTTCCCCCGAAAATAAGACAGGGTCTTATTTTCTTTTGAGCCCCGAAATAAGCACTTGGGGAGGTCTTATTATTTTTGAAGTGCAGGAGGCGGTGAGCATGATCACCTCATGGCGGCTGCTGTGTTGCAATATTTTCGGGAAGGGCTTATTTTCAGAGGGGGGTTATTTTAGTGCATGTGCTCAAAAGTCCAATTGGGCTTATTATCCGGGGAGGTCTTAGTTCGGGGAAACAGCGTAATGCTGAATGGAGGCCATTGCGTATGTTTGTTTATGTAATTAACAGTAGAGCCTACTAATGATAAATTATGGTTAAATTATGACTGTAGTTAAGACTCATGGCAAGAGGTAATCCACTGCTGGGCAGGGTTTGATATGAATTATCTATTACAGTGAAGGTATCTGCTTTGAAAATCCTTTATTTAAAAGACAATAATGGCTGGAATTTAAAAAAAAATGTTTTAAATTGGTGAAGTTTTTGTTAGCCTTTAGAATGACCTGAAATGAAATAGATCAATAAAGCAATAAATATTATGCTATCATGAAAGAATATTAATTTATAACTGCAAGAAATTATGTAGATAAAAGTCTGATTGTTTAGCATGTTGAAGTTCGTAAACAAGGCTTCCCTAAGACAGTCTCCCCCAGTTGTTATACTGCAGATCTCAAAATCTGCAGCTAACACATTGCAGACATTTTGAAATTAAAGGAATATATAAAGTTGAAATCCATAATATCCTAAGAAAGTTAATGAAAAAAGGGAAACTTTTCAATCTTTCTTTGTGAATATTAATCTTAACAGATTAGTACCAATTTATCATTTATTTCAGTCACATACATGACTATAAAATTATGTGTCATTTCATGATTACAGCCAGCCCTGGTCTGTCCCTCTTTGCAATGAACTAGGTAAAACATAAAATACATGCCCAGCTGTCTCTTAAATGTGTAGCAGCACTGTCCATTTCCTGTTGTTCTGTTATAGCTAGATAACTGATTTTTAAGAAACAGGATTTTTTGTACAAGATTAGTGGGAATAATGAGGTCTAATGGCCACTAATTGGACAGGTATGAAACACATCCTTTTTGTTGCATCAGCTTATGTTAATGTGATTTTAAATTCTATGGCCAGTAATATTTGGCGAATATTCAAAACTCTAGTACAACATCTATTCATAGAACCCATGAGGGAGAAACTTGAAATTTTCGCCTTTTCCCTTAGCACATGTTTGACTTCGTAGGAAAATTCATAGAAAATGAAAAAATGCTAATGCCTGTAAAATTCTTTCCTCTTTTTTTTTTTGCTAGGGATAAAACTAAGATAATATTTGTTAAGACATTGAATAAAATAATATCCTAGTCCCTTGTTCCCACCACAACATTCATGCTTTCCTATGCAATAATACTTCCGAGTTCTGTATTTTTTTTTTCTCCACTGAAGAGAAGAAGCTGTAGCATTTAAAATACCATAATCTTCATGTGGCCTTCTGGCATGCATATTTGAAAAAGAGATTTACTGAATTCACTCCAAGTATGTATCACTATGTGCGTATGTATGTGTGCATGACTATCTTACACAAAATACTTTGGACAGTTGTTTCTATCAATAAATGTTGGGAATAATGATGACATTAATTCCAATGTAAACCAAAGACATATTTGTAAAACTATCTGATATTGATAAAAATATGTGGACTAAGTATGTAAATTAATTTCATAAGTGTTGTGACTCAGCAGCAGTCTTCTGTGAGTCTTTTCAGGATGCAAGATTAACTATGCAGCTGGGGCTCGTTAGGGGCATGTTCTCAGGATAAAAGGACAGATGGTGCCACGCCCTGGTTGCAGGAGTCAACATTCCTTGGTTCTTTCAACATTGATTGATCATCGGTCGTGGTTTATGTAAGATACACTTGGAGAAGTGCTTTATTTCCTGTTACCCTGATTCAAGGCTACACTTGGAGAAGTGCTTTATTTCCTGTTACC